GGAAAACCCAGCAAACGTGAGCCAGGGAAGCAGGCAGAGCACACCCTGATGCTGGCTTTTTCCATGATAATCTGTGGAAGTACAGTCTGGATCAGGCAGCAGACAAATATCAGAATATACCACGATGACACCTCCAGTGGTTTTGCAGAACATACATCTGAACATTGGCCATATAAATAGAGTCAGGGTGGAGGGTATGAGCTCTTTCCGTTATGCTGGCTCGATGTGAAATTTTGGGAAATAAGTGTGCCCTGGAAGGCAAAACCAGCCACTTGGCAGGATCCTGAAAACAATGCTAAAAACAAAGGCAAATGAACACATTCATCCAAAGAGGGTAGGTAAATTGTAGGATGGCAAATGTAGGTAGGAAGTGAACCCTGGGTGATAAAACAGCCAGATGGCAAAGAAAGTGGGTGACAAATTTATGCAAGATAGTCCACATGCCAGTTGGAATGATCTTGTCCAATAGTGGATGGAAATGAGTGGCATAAGAATGAGTCAGGAGACAAATCTGATAAGATGAAATATAGGCCATTAGTGACCAAGCCAAGAATGTTGCAGATAGTACCAATGAATGCAGAAGGAGATTTCTCCCAGGAGGAAAAGGAATCCCATGGAGTGTTGAGTGGAATAAGGAAACACCACAAGTGAGAGATACAAGCAAAGTAGCAATGAATGGCCCAAATCAAGCAGAAACGTCTGTCCAGGCCCCAACAAGCATAGACGAGTGTAATAAAAGACTGAGGGAGGAAGGACTGGTCAGAAATATAAGAACACAAAAGTGATGGAGAAGGTAGGGGACAGGTCACCATTAAAATGATGTGAACAACAGCAACTGTAAGGGTGAAGAAAGCAGAATATGTTGAAATAGAAGGTGTTAGAAGTTGAAAGTGCAAATGGTAGGAATGGGCATGTGGGAGAGTGTGCAGAATGACATCGAGGTCCCAGTTAAGCAAAAGAGCAGGATAAGATAATCCATGGATAAAGAAAGACTGGGACAAGGTGGAGAGGGAACAAAAGAAGAAACACCCTATGGTAATGAGTTAGCAAGTAGGGGTGGAGAAGGCCACCCGATAACTGGTAAAGCAGAGACAGCTGAATCATGGAAAATAGCCTGGAAAAGCGAAGAGAGATGCGTAAGTGTTGAATTAAGAGGAGGAATTGGTGACTGATAGATAAACATCGAAAGCCATACCTCCACTCAGATAGAAAGACCATGTGGAAAGAGACCTGGCAGGGAAGGATTACCAAATTGGTAAATCAGATTCAAGAGTGATGGACTGGACAAAACCCACACAAAGGTGGAAGAACACAATCCTGTGACAGAAGGAAACAGAAGATGTTGAAGCAATAGAGTATAGATTTTGGCAAGGAAAGAGGGTTCAGTTGTCAGTTGGTACAGAAGAGAGAGCCTAGGATGAACTACCCATAGAGTACTACCAAGAGAAATGATGAAAGGGTTACTAGTCAAGGCCAGGGCCCAAAGGAAAGGCCAGCAAGGTGAGTGAGCCTTATAACAAGTAAAAGACCTGACCTGGTTAGGGCCGAGAGATGGAGAACAGATGACCAGAAAAGAAGAAGCATGTAAGTGAGAAGGTAAGTCAGGCAAAATGACTAGAGTTCTCAAAAAAAAAAAAGAGACATTGTGCAAGCAGAATGCTGGCTGGCCAAGAATGGCAACTGACAACCCAATTCATAGTATCTGATGCATGGCAGGCAGGCAGTGTGTGAAAGTGAAAGGTTTTGAAGTGAAATACCCAATGGTAGTTGACTGAGGAAAAATCAAAGAGTTGTTGGATTGGAATCTAACAAAATGAACCACTAAGAGGGGTAAGAAGTGGGTCATGCATAACTGTCAATTAGAAAGTTAAGTGCATGAATACAGAGAGAGGACCCATTCTGGGACCATGTGCAGAATGGAAAACAGACAGTCAGGAACCCAACTTAATGGAAACAGTACCAATGAGTTCAACAAGAATGATGCCAGGTAGAAAAGGAATGTGGAAGCTACTGACCAGAGTCTCCCCCCCCCCCTCCCAAAATGGCAAGGGTAATCCCAAACATGAAAATCTTGAAAAGGCGGTGCAGAATGATTAATATCGAGGAAAGAAGACATAGAGAGATGGAAAGGAATTGACGTAATGTCGTGGAAATGGAAGTAGGGAAAAGAAAAGAATAAAACAGAGGGGAAGGTAAAAGAATGGTGCATACCAGATAAACAATACCAAAAAATGTGAGAAACCTAAAGTGCATCGTCCACAGGGAGAGAAGTTCCAAGGTCCTAAACAGGTGAAGGAACAAGCAAATTTCTCCTCTTCATTCATCCCACAAATGCAGGGAAGGAACTTCTGATGAAGGGACTGAAACTGAAGTACCTGGAAGCAGAAGGGAACCCACTATCCTAAACACAAAGGCCACTACATCTTCATCAGGGAACATGCCTCCATAAGCCATCATTATATCTTTACCTGTGTGAGGATTTTAGTCATTCACCCAAGTAGTAGTAGACTTTACATGAACAAGCATTGATAGTTTTAAGAAAAAGGAAGGAAAGCAAGTTCCTTTTTTGTCACAAATCATGTTAAATTGACAAAGGAAAAATGTCTGACATGTTCAGTACTGAGGAACGAAATGAAGATCATGAGTACAAAAGCACAGTGGGTGCTAGTGCGTAGGGAGGCTGTGTCACCTTCCTATTTGTGCAGGATGCAAGTCACGAAGAATCTCAAGAGATTAGGTGGGAGTTGCCTAAAGGCTAGTGGCATGCAAACATCTTTAGGCAGATGACCAGGAAAAATAGCTTTGTATCACCTCAGAATTTCATATCTCATGTTGCTTTAAGAACTTATACTCTCAGTTAACTGTCAAAATTTCACTTACAAATTACTTTCATGTTAATTCAACAAAAGAAAAACAATCATAATTAAAACTTTAATGCACCAACAACATAACATTATTCATTAAATAGCATAATAGAGAAAAAATAACATATACACATTTGACACATTGCAAACTTAAATCTAACTCTTCCAGAAAGTTTGGAATGTATTGACTGTTAATCATCTGAATAAATGTCACATCATGGTAAACTTCACTGTGACAATTTTTCTTACTGATGTCTTGAAAAAATATGTCAACTACTAGTTCTGCTTCTCAACTTACCCTTTTTAAAACACTTGTTCTTCAGAAACAAATAGGACAGAAGCTACATGTACATTTTGGCCAGATATGATACATGCACTTGATATTTTATACAAATAACCTTTAACAAATGACATTTCTAACTGATTACAGAGAAGTATTTCCTATCACAGAGAATTTAAAACTGAAGTTTAACACACAATCCACATTGTTATCTCTATTATAAAAACTTCCAGTGCTTAACCACTGCTCAAGGTTGAAAAGAATATCTATAGGGTATTTTATTTTTGTCTTTATTGATTTCTTAAATTCACTTGTTTTCTAAGATAATGAACTCTATACACTCTTATTTTAAACTTTTCTCACAAAGCTATAAATGGGCAATCTCAACATACAGTGAAAAACCACAGTAATGAAAAACTAATTTCTCCAATTTAAAGTCTTGTTATAGTTTGTTCCATTTACTGACATTTTTCACAAACTGCTACACACAACATGTGTTATTTTTATTACTGTCTGTCGTCCCTAATTTTGAACTGATGGAAGGCAAGTGGAAGTCAGTCAACAGTACCCAGAATTAACTCTTGTCTCACTAAATAATTGAATTTGACCAGCGCAAAGTGCAGTATTTTTGATCCAATGGGATGACAACAATGAACCCTCTGATTCATAGTCCATGCATGCTAACAACTAGGCCACACCCAGGCTCACTTTTTTAATAAGGTTAATATCATCCATGTTGTATCTACTTTAAGTTTAACTCAATAGTATAGAAACTTATTAATGTCTCAATATTTCATGAGAATCACAGGAAAAATTTTACAAAATACTTGTTTCTACAGATTCTTAACAATTATTTATGAGAATGTTTCAAATAAGCTTCCTACAAGCAGCTCTTGGAGAAAGTAGTTTTTAAATTTTAATGCTTATATTCTATGCCAAGCTCTTTGTGACATAACTATAAGTATAAACAAAGCTTTTTTACTAGTGATACACTGTACAGTTCAAAATTCCCAAATGCAGTTTAGAAAAGATAATTTTTGTATTGCCAATAAGAAAATAAGTTTCAATTATGAGAGGCCATAAAGAACATAATACTTTAAATTTCATGGGGATTCTGCAATGCACAATTCTAAATGAGGATGTAGCATCATAGCTAAAACATTACTTACTTTTAGAACCAATCATACTACATAAAATATATTACTATTTCGAGCAAAATACTGTGCAGACATGTTAGCATACTTCATATCAAATTATAGTTATCCTACTGCATAATAATTAGTATACTTGTTATCTTAAAATAATTGTATAATTCTGAAATTTCCTTAATAATACTAATATACGACATGATATACATCTGAACAACACTGTGACAACTATTTATGTTTATTTTTAATATTCTCTTAACTTACATGAAAATATATAACTTATAAACACCCTACAACTACAAGTACAACATTTTAACATAAATAATAAGTGTAATTTTAACTTACAAACCAACTATGTTATGCATTACAATTTTTAATGCTAAATTGCTATCATTATCAGTACAAACTGCGATAGAAACAAAATTATTATTAATTACTGGCGAGAATATTTATATTAAGTAATAGACTAACTAATAGTACAGTATTATTTTCTTTCTAGTATCAATTACGAATACAATAACAATAACCTGAATAACTAAATAAGCAATACTACAACCACTGTACCACTAACAGGCATTAAAATTTAAATGCATTAGCCAAATACTAATGTTCTACAACTTACAACAATACAAATTACAAGTACAATATGGTAAACTATTTATATGCGATAAAAAGCTAAAAATAACGAAGAAATGTTGTTATACTTACCTTCTAGAAAAATTAAGCCTCGTCAACAAAACTTTATAGCAGCACAAAGTTAAAAAAAACAACACGATATTGTGAAAATTTTAAAAACCTTTTTGATTACATCAACCCACGTGGCCACGAAACGGCCATAACATACCACTCATTTATTTATTGCGAACAGCTACGACTACGCAATCATTAAGCGGAAGAATACATTAGACCTCACGAAAAAATTGTTTAAAATGTAAATGTCACGATACAAAGTAGTTCTAATGACAAAATATTGCAAAAGTCAACATCTTTTTTGACTTCAAAATTATCATACTTGAATGAATCTATAAATTACTCAAATTATTATTCAGAGTTGGTGTTTGCACCAGTAGTCTAACGTACGATGCTTAAAATTAGAAGTTCACAAATGATATTTAGATATGGTTTAACAGTGATATTTTATCTTAACTGGGGTTGTTTTCCTTTATCCAATTGCTTCAGGTGTTGTTTGATTTACAAGGTGGGGCTACACGAGCTGATAAAAGCTCATTGTTTACTAGTTATCACTTGCCATATTGTTCATTGCACTGTTTTATTTATTGTATTGCAAATTATGACTATCATTAAACATTTGTTATTTTGTGTCTTGTCTCTTTCTTAATAATATAATCAAGTGAACTCGAAGGGAAATACACACTAAATTCTCTTGTTGTTAGCGGGTCTAACTTATCTGCTCTGTTTATCATCCGAGAGATATACTTTGAATGCCATCTTGAAAGCGTACATATTGTTACGTCTCTGGTCGTTAGTTAATTTCCCGTATAATTTATTTCCGATGAAACTTTAGCGACACAAGTCCTTTCTTAAATAAACTAGTTTATTC